CCGCGCACTACTACGACCCTAAGCCAATTACCGATTATATCTGGGCAAATGTAAACGGCTTTTTTGCACAGCCATACCCATACCCATGCCCATACCCATCCGATCCGATCCCTTGGCCCCTAGTGACAATGGGTGTGTGCACCTTGATGACACTGCTGTTGCCAGTTGTCCTTGTCCTTCAAGCAACTGTCCATGTCCATGTTCGAGTCTTCCGTACAGCATACGGCATGGTAATCATCAATCAAAATCATCAAGCACACACCAGTCCAAGAAGTTTTTGTACCTGTCCGCTTGTAAGTCCAATTTCAATACCGATTCCAAGACGTTGTCTCATGATCGTTTTTCGTTTCGTTTCTGTGGCATGATTTTTGTGTTTCGTTTTGGGCCCAAGATGAATCGCTGGATTGTTCGCACCCCGTCGATAGGCAGTTAATTATATTTATTCCCATCCTGTTGGGCGTTACACATCGGCGGCGGCGGCATCGCTTTGTGTGCCCATCATGCCCATGCCCATGCCCATGCCCATACCATACCCCATACGCATTACAGTATTTCCAAGTACGCGTGTCTAGTTGCACTTTCCCCGAGGTTTCGGCGCCAAAGGATGATTAATCAATGGCAGTCAATACACCCATCGATCCATCCATCCATCCATCCATCCATCCAAACTATCCTCCATCCATCCATCCACCCGAGCCCAACCGAACCGTACCGAACCAAGTCGTGTCGAGCATTCATTGCAACATCAGCGTAAAATTTTTATTGTAACGCATTCCCCTTTGCCCCACACCAACCGCAATATACCCAAAGGAAAGCCGTATAAATCATAATTTCATTTCCAAATTATACATCGTCAATCAACATAATGAAATACATTTTTTCGGTGGTACCAGAAACTTCAGTAATCTACCCAAAGTGAGCCAGCACTTTTGATCGATCCAATACGATCCGATCCGTTTGCATTTGGGAACCATAATTGTGAGAAGTGTCGCAATATACTCCAACTTATGAGTGTGTGGTGATAAAAGTGATCCACTTTGTTCACACATAATATAATTATTCTCTTTTTAATCTGTGGAGGAGATCTTGATCAAGCAACTTCCTGTATTACCTGCTAAGATCTAAGGGAAATGGGGTTCCTGGAGTTGTTAAAAGGAAACCAACTCGGGGGGGATATCACAGTTTCTAGGGTATTTTCCATTATTATTATTATTATTTCTATAATGAAGAGCAATACAATATATTATCTAATATGATAACTATATTTATTTTATATTTATTTAGTTATTTCTATAATATTATAGGTACATTATCTAATAGAACTAACGCCCAAAATCTGGTATAAATAATATGCCTTAAAAATTAGCAGCAGATAAAGTCCTCAATGTAATAAAAAATAACAAAGAACTGAACAATAATAAATTATTAAAATCTTCCAAGTGTACAGAAAATATATTCAAATAAAATATTAAACAATTATTTGAGCCAGATTTTGTTTATTATTCAACAGTTATAATAATTATTAATTAAATACACTAAACTAAAATATTTACAATTTCTATCTAGCATTGCCATATTTAAATTATGCATTTTCCAATAATGAATCACTTGATATTTGGGTTATTGTGCTGCATACATAAGCGATTGGGTCTCATAAGAACAAGCATATAAATGCGTTGATGTAGCTATGTACGTACATATGTATATATGTAATAATATACATAAATGTATGTAAATGTATAACGATAATTGTTAAAGGGCTGAAACGAAATCTGTGCACACACACACCCCCGTGGTATTATTTCAATATAAATGGGCTCTTCAAAGTCATTGTATGCATATTCATATACGACGACTCTCAATGGATGGATGGATGGATGGACGGATGGGGTTGTAGATGAGGATTTGAATTTGAATGCGAGTGCGTCGTCACTGAATTTCGTTAATGAAATTTTTTGGTCGACTCGTTAGTTGGATGGAGTAGCAGGGGTTGCAGTGGCCACACCCCTTTTCGTTCAATTGCTTATTATTCGGCCACGTTCATTACCTTACCCCTTGGACAGTGGATTCAGATAAAAGGGTTCGCTTCGGTTCGGTTCGACTCGAATCAAAAATAATTATCAAATGTCGTATGGTACACCCTTCAGCTTTAATTGGAGCTTGAATGATCATTATTATTTTTAAATATACATATGTACATACATATTAGTAAATACATACATGTTTACATATGTACCTAAAATTAGATTGTAGGCCTGGATGAATAGATTACGTCCCCCAGAATTTGCAATATACCTGCAACATATTTTTAATAAATTCAAAAACTGCCGTTCCGGTGTCTTTGCGCACTTTCACTAAGAACTTTCACTAAGCATTCACAGAACCAATATCCAAAACTAATTCATGGGTTGTATAGAATATTTTATGGCCTTTCATAGCTATTTTTGTATTGATAAAATGGCTATGGATAATGATATGTGGATATGATATGTTTCTACAATATATAATGCTTTTTAAACATTGGAATTATGTATATTTAACAATATTTTGTATGTTTTGGCTATATTTTGAGACTTTAGACTTTTCTGTGGCAATTATATGTTTCAAGTTATTGCCGGGGAAGTCTGTCTGGGTAAGTTCAGTTTTTTTTTTAATTCTTCTAGATTGAGAGATTCGAGATTGTATTTTTATTTTTTAAATTTTTATTTTTTCTTATTTTTTACAATTATACAAAATTGGTTATTATATTTACATTATATTATAATAATTCTGATTAAAAGGTAGCCGCTTCAGTATGTGACTTTATATAAAGTCTAAGTCTGGAACTATCAAGCTGTTACAAATGTTTCCTTTCTTTCGCCACATTTTATTTATCGTTATTCTATATTATTATAATCCTAATCCATATTTTTTAGATAATTGTTAATTAAATGCACATACATGCTATAGTGCATGTACATATGTACATACAGCCATATGTACATACAGACATTTGTATGTGTGTACATATGCATTCTTATCAGGATCACTAGCAGCAGCCTCGCGACAGGCTATCTTCTGCGAGAGTCCAATAGATGGCGTCATGCTATTGATCGTTGGGTTTGTGTCCAAATACGCGAAATGCGCCCCCTGCTGCGGTTTTTTATTCAGTAAAAAACAAAAATAAATTTATTATTATTATTTTTAATTTTTTTATATTACAGAATTTAATATTAATCTAAATATATTTTATCCAATAATAATATTTACGTATTTACCCGTTCCGCTACATCCCATGGCTTGACTGTATAAAATCCTATGATCATTCAATATGAATGATGTGAATGTTTTTACGAGAGATTCTGGCTTCTGGTTGTTATAGTTATAACAAAATAATGGAATAATTTCCAGTAATTTTAGGTCTGTGCAACTTTCCGTTTAGGAAACCCTTTAGGAACCATCCGCCTATGCTGCCGATGCAACTTGTGGCATTAGCCACATTACGTATCTAAGGGTTTCATTTTCAAACCAGAGAAATCGTATCCATAGTAGTCTGAATATTTTATTTGGGATAGATCTAACTCAGACAACGCTTAAAGCAAATGCCCACTCATATTGCATTAATGTGGCCCGACATTAATAAGTTGGCGCATCGCCATAGGCAGCCATACCACCGGGTAACGTAACCCATTGCGGAATACTCGTAACAATATTATGCCAGGAGCCAACCGGCTGCGTGTCCACATGAGTGGCATCAAAGCAAATGTCGTTTATCTAAGGATAATGTGTGTTGCGCCAGCGGAATGTCAAAATAAAAAGTGTTTCGTTTTGGGCGCAATCAATTGAAATTAATTTGCATAAAGGAATGTCCGGGCACACGCACCCACGGGCCACGCATGGGGGATACAATATCGGATGTTGACCGGCCACCGGAGGGACTCACCCGAGACTCACGTTGCTGATGCTGACTGCTGATGCTGTGGACTGGTAACTGGTGGACTGCTGACTGGTGCTTGGAGCGAGGTATTGTTTCTCTTTGTTGCTTGATTTGTGGCCGCCGCCTGCCTTTTCCTTACAATTAGATTTTAATTTGTGCATAATGAGAGCGGCATGGGAAATCAAACAGGGGCAAGCAATGCTTCCTCAATGACAAACACAGTGCGCTCCATATACAATTTTCCAGCGAAACTAGGGGGTGGGGCAGGCATAGGGCTCGGCTCGTGTGGGGTGGGGAGGTGTACGGGGGCCGCACACACATTCATGTGTATATGGCCCAGAGGCATTTTTTGGGCTGGCAGTGGCAGTGGCAGTGTGGCAGCGGGAAAAGTCTGTTGGCACAGCTGAATTTAGGGTTTAAAATTAATTAAGCGGAAGTAAGCAAGTAGCATTTGATTGTTTTAGACAGTTGCCTGATCTTTGTCCGTCTTTTTTTTTGCTTTGTTTTTTTTTTCTGCGCACCACCCATCATATTTCATTTGATTTACGCAAAACGGAGTCCTTAAAGCTGTGCCAATTACCAAATACAATTGCTTACAAAATAAATAAAAAATAATATATATGTATATGTAATTCTTGTAAATGTAGTTTAAGTGCTTTATTTATTTGATGTATTTTTGTTGGCCTTCCAATTAGAATTTAATTTCGGCTGCATATCCGAAATTAAAACGTATTGGCGGACTTCCATCTTAGGCCACGGTCTCGTTTCAAAAGTGAAATAATCTTTGATTATTATTATTTTGATTTGTGTTTGAGCTGGCACAGACAGAGCTTTAAAGTGTGGGAATTATATATTTAATATTGTGTCGAGTTTCCTTAGATATTTGCATATAAATCTAAGTCTTTGGTCCTGTCTCTCCTGTCACGCTGTGGCTGGGAATCCAATTAGAAGATAAACTGCATGTTCTGTATTTTCTCCTGATGGAATTATATTAATATTTGTATTAAATGAAAACTTTAAGTATCTTTTTTTGCCAAGCTTACCTTACTCCGGCTTAAATCGAATTAGTGTGTGTGTTTGTGTGTGTGTGTCCTGTTTTGCTTAGAAGTCTATGTAGCAAATGTCTGTATGCATATTGTGTGAGTTCCGGCCCCACCCAGGGGGATGGATGGCAGCCAAACATCACGCAACAGCAGGGCCAGCAAATGGAGCAGCAGCAGGAGCAGGAGCAGGAAGTAACACACCTAAATGATTGATGATTGTCATGGCCGGGCCATCGGCAGTGGCGACTTTTCAATTATTGCTACGACATGACAGTTGGGTTGCGTGATTTTCCTTTGTTTCAGAGCAGTTTCTGTTCTGTTTTGCTTCGCCAAATCATTGTGTCGGCGACAGTCTGTCATTTGTATGTATTATAATGTAATAAATACAGAAAATCCACTGGCTAAGTGTTGGCAAACAATCTCTGTGTGTGTGTGTTCTGTGTGTGTGTGTGTATGGTGCAGAATGATTTGTTGGAATCCTTGGCCATATACCACAAGTCACTCTCATTAATTAAGCCAGGAAGCAGCTAGAGTTACAGTTGATTTAAATTTTGTTGCATATTGGCGTCGTCTGTCCACACAATTTGCCAACTCATGTCTGCGGCGGACAAAAGTCAAACATCTTAGCATTTACATATATATGTATCCATATATATATATATATATTTCTGTACTTATACTTACATGTATTTGTGTATCTTCTGTGTTTAAGTTTATGGCTTCTTATAACTAATTGGAACTCGTCAAAAGGGCGGACACGGACGACGCCTAAAAGCCGTGCACCTTCAGCAGCTCGGTTCTGGTCAATCCCACCTGGGCCAGCCACTGGCACATTTTCTCACGTTGATCGCCCTGCAGCTGTATGATTTCACCATATTGCGGATGCTCGATTACCGTGCCATTGCACGCGAATTTCCGCTTGCAAGCGCGCACAATTTCCTTCAAGTTGTAGTCCGTGGACAGGCCCTGGACGGTGGTTAGCATTTTGCGGCCATTTCTTTGCTGGATTCTGATGTGCACCAGCCGCTCATGCATATCATTGCAAATATCCGCAAAGGGATCGTGACTGCAGAAGTTCTGAATGGACATAGTTGTGCGATTGTAAAATCAAATTAAAACGCGACAAAACTGCAACTTGCAAAACGAAACAAAAAACTTTCCTTAGCTTGACTTGGCTTGGCTTGTGTTGGATAAGTGTGACCAGAGCTGTGCAAGTTTAGGATGAGTTATCGCTTATCGATAGATCAGATATGACATAGTGTAGATGTAATGTAAAATATATGCGCTAAATCCCGCGGTAGAAAATTCAATTCAAGTTGAACTTTTGCTCAGATTCTTTAATTTTGGATGTATGTACATATTTTTGTAAATTTTTTGTGATTTGTTTTACGACCTTAACCACTCGACTCGACTCGACGCTCTCTCTCTCTCTCTCTGTCGCTCTTGCTTTCTGTCCCACTCCATCTGGTTTCTAATTGAAAAGAGGTTGAGCAAATAAACACAAATTGTAATAAAAGTTTATATGCAATAAATATTTTTTGGATACGGGAGAACGCTTTTGCCTTTTGCCTGGTGCTGCTTCTGTTCCTGGCTGTTGCCTTTTGGCTTTTGAATTTTTTATTCGAAAAATAAAATTGAAAATTCAATTTCGCAATCATTTTGGCACCACCGCCCCGCCCCGCCCCGCTCCCAGACCCCACCCACACAGAAAACAGACCGACAAACATGCCTGCCCGTAGTCGAACTACCCTTACCCTCTAAGTGTTTGCGCCCCCCCCACCGCCCCACCACCCACTCGGTCATAACCACGCTTGAGATTAAAAACGACAATCTCCTGACGACAGAAGAGCAAAGTTGTCGGAGACCAGACCAAGACTATAAGAGCCCAAATGCAACACAGCCAGCCAGCCAGCCAGCCAGTCAGCCAGCCAACGCCAAAGAGCATGTGATGGCGGCAAAAGGATGCGAATGGCAGGAAGAGCTTCATTAAGAGCAGGGACCTCTGGCATACGAAAAGGCTGATAGTAATTGCCGGGACTCGAAAGTTTGCCCTGCTGGATTCGGATTCGTATTCGGATACCATACCCCCCCCCATTCGTCAGGGGGATACATTCTCGTACACACAGAGTCATCCCAAAAAATAAAACGGGGGAAAAGGGGGAACACAGTGCACACCCGCCATAAGCATAGCCAGATCCAGGGCAGGACGCTCTGTCCTGCGCGCCTTATTGGACATTCTCGTAATAATAATTAAAATTAAAAAACACAAAGGAAAAAAAAGTTCACGGAACTTGGGTTAAAAAAGAAAAAAAAAAAGGACTGGCTGCGCGGGGACTTAAAGACAGTAAACGTAAACCCTTTTAAAGAGTTGCCATTTGTCGAATGGGAGAGATCCCCCGAAATAATGTACACGTTAGGTTTTAGGGCTGGGAATTATTAATTAACCCGTTGTTAGCCCACAGCGGCCTCATTTGTTCTAGCTTTTTTTAAATTATGCACCTATTAATGTTTAAAATGCAAATGTACCGGTACGGGTATGGGTATGGGGTACGGAGATGGTGCGTAGCATGGCATTTGCCTTCCTTGAATGGGCCATAGCCATAAACTTTTATGTGAATAATGCAAACCGTTGTCAAGGAATTATGACCGGACTGAAAGTGCTCGCTGCTGAGGGTCACTTCTTCGTCTTCTGCTTCTTCTTCTATGCCATGTCCATTTATTTATGACCAAAATATATGTATAACTACATGCCGTGCCCCCCCAATGCAGGAATGCGTTTTGCCACGGCAAAATTCCAAAATCGAAAAATTTGCACGCAGGAAGAAAAAAAAAACTTTGCACCGTTGCGCCAGGCGAGGCCACAAAAAAACAATATATACAGTCGTTGGGAAACTAATTAAAAACAAGCGAGAGAGAGGGAGGAAGAGAGAGAAAGCTTCTAACCGCCTGCAATGGGCAAACATTTTTTTTTTGCCTCAACCATTTTTTTTCTCCAGCTGCATAATCCATAGTGGCCATAGAGAACCCGTTTCAGCGGACTCCTTCGGGTTGCATATTTTTCTACCGCTTTCTAAAGGAGTACAAAAAAAAAGAGAGGTTAGCGCCCGAACGGTCTGAATATATCAGTTATGTATTATTTTTTTATTTACCTACATATTGCATAAACCATATTTTAAACGCTGTAAAACAAAACGCTACATTAAGGACATAAATAGTAAATAAATAAATAAATATTAAATACATATTTAAATAATTAATATTACATTTTAATTATTAATTATTTTATTATTATTAATTAATTATTATGACTAGGTATTATTATTTATTTATTTATACTTTCTTTTATTTATTAATTTATTAATTAATTATTATTATTAATGAATAATTATGACTAGGTATTATTGTATATTTATTATTATGACTAGGTATTATTATTTATTTCTATTTTTTTTAGGGAAAACTGGAATCCAATAGTGCTCTATATTCCAATTATTATTATATAATTAAAGCATAATATTTTTTTTTAATATTTAAATAAATAAATTAATATATGGCATCCTATCGCTTTAAATATTTATGTAAACATTTTTTACTTGCTCTGGCCCTGAAAATATTACAAAATAAAATGCTACAACGTGGCTTGAAGCCTAGTCCCCTACCCATCTGGAGCTCCTGATAGTCAACAATTATTTTGTATAAGCAGAAATAAATGTCTTAATGTATTTTCAAAGGAGTACGTTCACCCATTGGAAGCCACAGTGAACACGCAAAACAACTATTTCTGGGTTAACAATTCAGTGACCAAAAAAGCCAAAAACCAAACCAAAAACCACCGCGTATTATTCCTATTCAGCCAACTATTACATGTATTTAATGATTGGGTTGGTTGTTGTCTTGCACCGCTTCCTTGGCGTATCCACACTGACATCTTGGTAGACCTCACAAAAACCCCAAATATCCATGCACACACACGCACACACACCGAGTAGCATGTATCCTGCCATTCTGTTCTCTGTAGAGAGTTAATCACTGGTGAATAGTACTCGCACACTGGTGGCACAAGTTCTTGGAGTTGAGCATTCGCATTCGCATTCAACCACAAAACACGGCCGCCGCAGCCATTTAACGTATAGCAAGCATTTTGATTGTTTTGCTATCTCGATGCTGCTTTGTTGTTGCTATAATTGATTTCTATGGCTTTGAGAAATAATTATAGATCCGATTGTCCAGGTCCTGAAAAAGATCAAATGGAACAGATTATAATATATAATATGGTATTTTTTCCAGGGTATGGCTTTTGTATGCGGAAGCTAAAAAATACCAAGTTCTGTGCAGGGAACTGGAATACTGAAAATACTGAGTAGCACAGTTCCCTTGAAGCACAGCAGTTCTTCAGGGAACTGGAATACTGAAAATACTGAGTAGCACAGTTCCCTGAAGTTGTAGGAGTCATTCCTGTTTCCTAGTCATTCTCTCAACAATAGAAATACCTTGAGGTAATGCTGAAATCACTTAAAGAAATTATAATCACTTTGTACACACACGTTTAGCTCCTCGGGCAAGTGAGGGGGCGCCATGGCACGGCATGGCACGGCTGCTGCTGCTGCTACTTGCTTTGCTCACTTCTCGCAGTCTCTCAGTATGCCAGCAGTCGAGTTCCCCCGTTCTCCACCGCCACGAGGTATTCGCAGTCGTAGTCGTGTTTTTTCGGGTGGCGGGGGGGGGGCAGAAAAGTCAGTGGCAGAGGTTAGTTGAGCAGCTCTGGGGTTTTGGGCTACCCATTGAGTTCAGTTGAGAGAGTTGAGAGAGTTGAGAGTTCGTTCAGTCTCGTTTGTTGTTTTTGTAGTGGATTAACCCGAGCAAAAGAAATAAATTCACCTGCAGAGAGATGCCTTGACGAGTGCCTTAGCGAGTTTGCTCAGGCTTTTTTGCCCATCAGCCCATCATTGGTAATGGTGGGCAGGGGCAGGGGTGGTGGTCTTGTATTTTCGGCATTTTGTGGGGTGGTGGCACTGGTGTGGGTTTCGCCGAAAGGAAAAGGTAATTTAGTAAATAATAGGGTCAAAGACAAATATTGTTGTGGGCTTTTGCCAATGAGGGAGCGCTGTCGGCGTATTGTGGTGCGTGAAAAGCGTGTATAAGTTACTCTTTTGAGGCAATTGAGGGCGATTAACTGGCAGCAGTAGGAAGAAGCAGGAAGCAGCAGGAAACAGGAAGCACCACTAACCAGCAGCAGCAACAAAGATCTCTGACCCTATCTGACCCACAACTTGGACGAGGACGACGACGAGTTACTCGAGTGTGTTTGCCAAGACACACACACACACACACACAAATAGTTATATTCGTTAGACAAACATTCCAACATATGTACGTACAGTGTACACTCCTGCATAGGTACGCGTATGGTGTGTGAGAAATGTGTGCAAGATTTATCAAATTTAAATTGGGGGGATTTGGGGAAACCCCTTTGGTTTGAGTAATGCAAATTATTTAAGTACTATAATGGCCAAGTATATGCCTGAATATCTTAGAAAAGCCAGCTAAAAATCTTCAATCGTTAATAGCTGCTTGCTAACATATTCTTATTGATTATTTTCTGGCCTAATACTTACATCTTTCATGAACAAATTTTACATTAAATTTTGAGCTTAAACCTCTGTTGATCTTGTCGAATATTCAAATTAAAATTATTAAAATATTAAACATATTGTCAAATAGTGCCCAACATTTATTGTGACATTTATTCTTCAGATATGGGAATCATATTACAGAATATACAAAGCGTTGCCCAAGGGGAGCTTATATATATTTAGTGTAAGCATTACTTACTTGTTAAATAAAAGGTATACCCTATATAAAATTCGCCGCATAAAACTTAAGCACTAAACCTATTTAACATAAAAAAATGCACCTAAAATATTGATAGAATTTAAATGAATGTTTAAATAACCAAAAATAAAGAAGAAACTCTTAACAAAACAGTTTTGGAATACAATTCTTGTGTTTTCTTACTAGTTTGCTTACTATTTATTGATTATTTTTTACTAAAACATTCAAATTACAATCCACATTAAACAAAACGGAAAGGACAGCTCTGCAGCTGCAGCAAAAGCCACACTAGATAAAATAAAGAGAAAATCCTTTTACTTTAATTGATGGCTGGGTTAAAGCAACTTGATCTGCACCGATAGCAACGTCTCCGTGTGCTCGGGGCTGCTGTTGTCCATCGACGCGTGGAGAATACTCGATGCTCGATACTCGAATGCTGCTGATTGAAAGGGTTGGCCAGGCGGTGCTTTGTCTGCGAGTGTCTCACGCTATTGATTTTCGACGGCTCATTCCATGC